AAAATAACACAGTTTATTGTCAAACTGAATCAAAGCATGAAAAAAAAAAAAAAAAATCACAAAGTTACACTGTAAAGAAATTTGGGTTTCATCACAAAAGCTCATTAAAACCTGACAAAGAAAACAAGCCAGTAACTCCTCCAACAACCCTCAGGCTCTTCGAGCGCAACATTTATTGAAACGCTGGGAATTCACATGTGGTGGTCACCATGTTTGTACGAACAACACCATCAACCCTCATTATCAGGAAGACCGGTGGTTCTCAAGGCGGGTGACATGTTTCTGGCTCAAAGGTGACTCCTCTCTTCGCCTCCAAGTAGCAACAGCCTTGTCCCAGCTGGAGTCCAGCCCGAGATGACTGCTACAGCTGACGGGGGCCAGCTGCGTTTTGCTTCTTTGTCCAGCATTTTCCTGCAATTTACACCCCGGCTCAAATGCGTCCACACCACTAAATTAAAAGACAGTTGCACAATTAAACGCCGCCAGTCGCGCGGAGAAGCGCGGTGGGAGGTACGATTGCCGCACAGGGTCCACCACGGTCCGGGGGTCACAGCTGAGCTGACACAGCCATCACCTCAAAAATCCAGTTTGCTGCTGATTTAAGCGATGACCCAACCCACCCTTTTTAAACCGCTGTTTGGGAAGGTGTGCAGCTGCGGATGCAGACCGACTTTACTGAGTCGAATCGATCTCTGCTCACTCCGAGATGCTGGCGAGTGCCCTGTGCTTCCCGAAATGCTGATTTTGCATTTGGCATCAGGCAATTACGGGACAACCTGCTCCTCAGCACAGCTCCCTTCGAAACAGCACTGGAGAAGGCTCTAAACAAAACAAGCCTGGAAGCTGCTCAAGTTTGAGTTCGCCAACCTGTCAAAACCAATATATCACCCAAAGACCATTTATTTTTCCAGTAGCTCCTGCAGAACCAACAGCAGAGTCCAGGAGAACTTTGCCTGGTCTCCTGCCAGCGTAGCTGGGTTGGTAGGAAGTCTGGACAGCGAAGGTCGCTTGCCAGGAAAACTGCTGGAGACTGCAGGATCCCCTGGAGCTGCAGTCCACCTGGAAGAGCCCTATCCCATCTTGCAGGGAATTTCAGAGCGGTTGGCTTTCCTTCTGAGTCAGAACACAATAAAAAGGGAAAGAAAAAATAATATTGGAAGGCAGACGCATAGAAGTGCATTTATGGACTATGGTGTATTCAATTTTGCAAACGCTTAATTTCAGTTAACGTAGAACAACAGTATCTTTCTCACCGCTATAAATGAGCTGTTTTACGAATTTTGAAATGTTTGTTTTACTGAGTGAAATAAAGGCATCTTTATCCTAAGTAGTAGCTAAGCAGATTGATAAAACTACAAAAAACCCCAAACTACCCTAAACAACAATAATCATAAAACCCAACCCACCAGTACGAAACAAAGGCAGTCTAGGTCATTCCAACTGATCTTAGGAATAATTAAAAAAATATTTTTAGTTGCAACTGATGTGCTATCTTGAGTCAGCTGCTTATTCTAACAGGCCTCAGGTTTTCTGCTCATAAAGCATTAATAATATCTGCCTTTTCCTAGAAAGGAAGGCTCTGCCTAAGTCTTACTGTGTCAGATAAAAAGTCCCAAAATAGACTTTCCAACCAAATAAAGTGTTTTATTCAGATATTCATTTGGATACGGCAGTGATGTTAAGAACAGCTATTCAAGTAGCTGAAGTAAGCCCTTCAAAAGAAGTCACACAGCTTTGAGACTTGAACAAATTATTGTATGATCTCATCCGAGAGATCTAAATAACTGGAACATCTGCCAGAGTCACCACCAATTTATTTTGCAGAGTTCACCAGTAGTTCATCAGCTCTGTTTGCACAAGCAGGTGCCAGGGCAGTCAAAGAGGAGTCCTATACATGACTCAAAAAGAGGAGAGGGGGAGCAGAATGGAACAGAGATGGGCGACTTCACTATCTAACACGGATGTGCATTAGCAGGAATAAAGTCCCTCTCAAATTAGGGCAGGGGCTATTACTGAAGAAGTGCAGAAATGCTTTTTCCCAGAGAAGTATTACATGCACAAGTAACTATATTGTTAAAATTTTTTATTTGTGACAGTAAAGAAACCATTCAATACCTGATTGACAACACTCCTCTCTCCTGAAAACACTCATATGGCATCTGTAGTGTTTCTCAAGTATCGCTGGATTGTTCATTGCATTAAAGTGTAAACAGCTCCATTATTAGGAAAAAAAAAAAGGAAAAAAAGAAAGAAACATTTCCATTGCTTACTCCTCTGTTAAGAAGTTTCCAATAGATCTTTAACAAGAAAGAAAAAGTCAGCTGGATTTTTACAATATAACGTGGAACAGAAAACTGACAGCTGGTTTTGCATAGTTAGCCCAGAGATTTGTAAGCAATTGCCCCACGCCAAGTCTCGCCTGCCCTCCTCACCCACAAAGGCATAACACATCACAGCACCTTGGAAATCAGAGGCACAAACTTGATTTTGTTTTACAAATAGGGCTGTGCGGTACTGTGGTTTATTAGTTTAAAAAATGAACCTGGAAAACATCGGATTATGTGTTTGTAAATTATATAGCTACAGATGTTTTTCTTTTTCTTTTTTTTACACTGAAATTTCAAAAGCTGCAACATCAGTACACACCAGTGTCATTTAGATACTTTATTGTCCCCAACCAGTCTAATCAAAATCATGCTGTGATAAAGTGATTGCATACACTGATAACCAAATCTCTTCAGGTGTTGAGTTTCTTCCATGTATAACTTTGCTGCTTAAAAAAAAGATTAAAGGGCGAAACAAACAGACAAATTACTCTTCCAAAGCTCCCTAAATGAACACGGCAATATTGTACATTTGCTACCATCTTCCGTTCGAAACCTGCCCCGCTTCCTGGTGGTCAACGAGTATCCTGCGCACAGCCCTGGTTTACAAATGGCAATTTAATGGTAACACTTCAGCTGAATTTCAAGAGTCTAAGGCATTCTGCCTTACAGCTTAATTTAAAAATACCTATACAGGCAAAAAACCTTTTTTAACCCGACATAAAAAGGACAACAGAACTTCAGGCCAGGCAGCGTTTCTTTAGCTGAACAGAATGACCGACTGGAAAATACTTTTTAATACTTCTACAATATCCAGAAATAGAATCGGAAACCAGGGTTTGTAACAGCCCTGGTGACCTGCGTGCACTTCAAAATATGCAAGAGATTTAAGAAATAAGTATTTTTTCCTATTTTATTTTTAAAAAATCTTGTATTTAAAATACAATCAAATACCCGTATTGTGAATTTTACAAACATTCCACTCATTTATCTGGCTTTATGGACAGAACTATATTGCTTTGTTAAAATCTAGAAACTCTATATAGCGTCTAAATATTCACGCAAACGTAACACTTGAAATTTCAAGTACGATGATAGTGTCAAAATAAACAACTACGACAGTTTCATCCCTTTGGCCCAATTTGAATACCCAGGGAAGTCCAAACCTGACTGCAGAGCGCTCCAAGTTTTATTTCAATGGGAATGAGTTAAAAAAAAAAAAAAAAATTCATCAGAAGTTATAGAAAATACCCTTAAGATACCAGCAGAGATCAAAACTGCTGCTAAGTTTTCCCCCTTTGTATTGTCACAAGTTTTAATGCTGGACTAAGTTAAAATAAGGTGTGTTTTTTTTCAAATTTGTGGATTTCAAGAGCTAAAATAAACACTACAGAACAATTATGGTTGTACAGAAAACACTGTCAGAACCGTTCTAGAAGCTGGTGCAGAAGTTCAGTTGTCCATTACATGTGGATTTTAGAACAATACAAGACACTTTAATAATCAACATTCATTCACAGACTTAAGGCAACTGGTTCATGAAATCACTGCTTTCATAAATGCAAACTAATGACACGGTTTGTCTCACGTACAACAGGTCACAACCGTTCAGGGGTAATGTCAATGTCTCCATGGGGTTACTTATTGTCTGACTGGAAGATTGTTTGGTCTAATGCTAGCGAGAAAGTCTTTGAATTTTTTCAGCCGTTCCTATCATACCTGCACAACTAACTACAACCTGAATACTTCCCTGCAAACTGTGTTTGAAGCCGAGGAGCTACGCACACAGTTGAAAATACTGCTCAGAGAACAACTTTTTGGCAGCTTACAGTTTCATTACTCTGAAGTCAAATACAAAATTAAACAATCTTAAACTGAAAGTAAACGTTAATGGACTAACCAGAATCCATACGTCCTTTTTTTTTTTTTTTCCCTCCATTTTTTAAAACAACATAGGTTGTTTGGTTGTTTTTTTTAACTTGACAGTTTTGTCTTTTGTTGTGGCACACAATTATACAGTACTAAGGTAATGCCAACTGGTAAGAAAACGTAACGGTGATGCCGTACAGACTCATGAGCGTCACGGGACTGCCTGGAACATCCCTCGCTGCCGGACACGGCGAGCAGCTGGAACACAGCTGCACTGCAAGGGGGCAAGTCGTCTTACCGTTTGACACTGCACCTACGACAATCCACTCACCGCCTGCGTAGGCTGGCCTGCCCTTCTATGAGTGAATTTGTTAAGCTGCTTCACCAATGTTTTAGACAAGGATGATAATCCAAGTCCATCACACAAAAATTTTTCCAAGTCATCAAGACTTTGGAAAAAAAATAGAAAAGGCAAAGGAGATCTACTCTTCAGAATTTAGCACTAGGCTAGAAGCACCAACTACTCCATTTAGTCTTCTCTGATGACAGCCAAACACAGCTGTAACTTTTATGTTTGTAGACTTCTGGTGCCGATAGTAATTCAAAGGTGACACTGGAAAGGGGAAAAAAAAATAAAAATAAAGATACGCCTTGTTCTTCAAAGGCTTAAAAAAATTAGAAGTTATTCTTTTGAAAGGGTACTTATGACACTACGGAAGGTGCTAAGCAGGTTCTCAGATTCAAAGATGAGACTTACTCAACTTCGAAGCCAGAGGACCAATTTTAGTTTAGGCTAGTAATTTCTGTCCTTCTAGCAAGGCTCAATAAAGCTCCCAATCTGTCCCTTGCACCTGGGGGAAGAAGAAATACAAATCCAAGATGTGGGGAAAATACTTTTTGCATTTTTATATACCAAAGAAAGGAGAGAGCTCCATCTCAATTAAAAAAAAACCCCCACAAATTATATTTAAAAAACCCCTTTACAGGTCACCTTTAAATGAGCTCTCTGGTATACCAGATACTGTAGGATTAATACATAGGGGTGGGTTATGAAGCCTGCATTTTATTTATTGCCCAAGTTTGCAGCTTACAGAAAATGTTTCATAGCACAGGCACAGTGGCAAAAACAGTATAACAGCCGATGGTCAACTCCATTTGGTGAGTATACAGTAGCAGCAATTAAAAGAAAAAAGTACTCCAAACAGCTCAATACAGATCCAGCTTACCCAGACGGGTTTTTTCAAGAAAAGAATCTTAAACTAATAAATAGATCTCCTCCTCATTCTCCCAAGATAATGGTTTTCCAAAAAACGAGAGGCATGGCAGTTGTGCGTAAGCAGAGACAATAGAACTTCATCTGTCTAGAGTAAAAGGTGCTTTAGATCTGTTAGCCACCTTATTTTCTCCATTCCATCATTCCCTAATACTCAAACAACTGCAGATATGTTCAAAACTGTGCCCAAAATCGTATCAGTGAAATAACCATGTAATTTAACCCAAATCACCCCTCCCACAAACGCTTAAACCTTCTGAGCATGACAAAATGTAATAAAAACTTAATGTCATTGTGGAGACAGGAACCCAGCATCTTTGTTTCAACTTTTTCCTTTGTTATATATTACAGTGCTCTATAAAATTTTTCCTTTTTCCTTTTAAAGCATTTAGACAATACAAGACTAAAAGATGTCTGGAAATACGTCTTATACAAAAATGAATTTTTATCTTAAAATAACATTCAAAAAGGCACTTCATTCTGTAAGAAAAAATTCAGAGTCAGGTCAACTGCTCTAAGCAGGGGGGTAAAATTGTCTGCATAGTGGGAGGGGAAGAAAGGGAGAGAAATTCAACTGCTGAAATACAAGCTTCTTTTTTGGCATGTTTTAAGAAAAGCTGATCCAGTAAAAGATGTCCATTTATGAAATTCATTAAAAGAGTCCCATTTAAAATAGCTTCTTTTTTTTTTTTTTTTCCTTTAAAAAAGTAGTCTGAACACATGACCTTAGGAGTCAGGCTTCTGAAGGCTTAATAGCATCACTCATGATTGTCCTTCGTGTCCAATGTAACAGGAAGATCAAGAGTAGCACTTCTGACAGGGGTGACCTCCCCAAAGCTTACATTTGAAAGAGCTGAAAAAGATGGAGACAGCCTCTAGCAACTGCAATCTAGTAGCAGAAGTCAGTCAAAGTTAAGGGCTACCTGTTGCAGAGTTTATGAAGCATACTGTAAACTTCTTCCTCTTTGCTTAGTCCTTCAAAGAAAGGAATAAGATCTAGCAGCTCTGTGTCTGTCATGTCATCAAACCAGGACTGCACAGGCACCTGAAACAAAGCAAGTAACAAACATCAGGATGACTTCATGATGTGAAGAACATTTGAGTCTTGCCTAGCTAGACGTCCTGCAATACTCATTGCCATCACAGTAAGGCAAATTGCTAGTCATTAGCATTCAAGTCCACATCTTCTAGCATGCAACACCAACCCCAAACCCAACTACGAAACGGTTGACCTTCCAAATCCAACTGCAGAACAGCTGACATGCAGCTGACCTTCTCCCACATGTCCAAGTAACCTGCATGACCCAACACTGGACAGCTCAATTAGCTCTGCCCCCTTGATATTCAGAACAGACTCGAAGGAAGACACAGGTTATGAAGCTATACTGACACTTTATCTACGGGCAAGTCTTTTTTTTCCTTCCTCTAGAGTATGAGTCACTAAACAGAGGCATGCAGCAACAACCCCTTCTGGCATGGGGTTGCAGAGGAAATACTTAAACAGCGAGTACAGAACGGTTCTCCAACTAAAATATAAGACCTTGAGAGCAGGTTCAGAAAATAATGCATATAACAACACTTCTTCAATACGTGGGCTGGATTTGGGGAAGAAGTTCTGTGTAGCTTCACTATGGAAGTATACTGAGGTCTTTCAAAGACTATCTCGGATCTTGTTACAAGCTCTGGTTTCTGTAGAGACTCGAATATCGGCTAGCTAGCAGCACTTTTCTATACATGATTAAACCACTCTGCTGAGGTCCTTAATTTCATCTCCCAAATTTCTACAGCTTATTATTTTCTTGGCACTGAATTCCAAGATACCACATGACGATCTGGATCGAGTTTTTAATTTTAATCGTGAACATAAATTAGAGCTACAGCTCCTGGTTACTATAAATAGTAACTTTAAACCATGTGTGGCACCAACCAGAAAAATGTTTTCACCCAGTCACTTAGAGCATCAAAGTACTAAGATCTGAATTTAAAAGCTCACTGCTGCAAGATAAATAGTTCACGTTTGAAAAAAAAAAAAAAAAGGCAAAAAGCTATGTCAGAGAGCCAGGACCATGCAAAACAGTGTTCCTGATAAAAATTTCCTACATTAATTTTAGCAGTTCACAAAAAAGGCAGCCTAAAAATACCAAAGAAAACATTGCACAGCCTCGCTGTTTAAAAGTCAGTAGATCTAAGGGGAGTTCCAGCTTGCTATCCTGGCAACTACAAAACAGATGTGAGCATCTGTACTGATTGCAGCAATGGATGGAGCAAGTGCCAGACCATTCCATCATAGCTCCTGAGGCTGACACGAAACACACAGTGAAAATGTGCATTGCTCTTAATTATCCTCCCTTGAAGTACTGTTGCCTGCCTTGTATCCTTACTCCTAAAGCTTGATGAACTTGTTGGCTAATGCTTCTAATTATGAAGTGAGTTATCACAAAAATACTTAAAGGAGAAGCATAACGACACAACAGGATCTTGATTTTTGTCTTCCCCTTAGCCACAAATACAGAACTCAGACAGTAACCAGTAAAGCATTAATTATCTTGTCTATTTAATAAAGTGTTTTCGTGCACGCAATGAAAAAAGATGATTACCAAAAGCAGTTCAAGTAAACTGTTCTATCTGAAGAACAAAAACTATGCTCGAGGGCAGCTTTGCTTTTTAGAGCTAGGTTAGTTATTCAGGTTCTACACTGCTTGGTGTTTCTCAAAACTGATGGACTTCATGCCAGAAGATAAAATGGAAAGCGGATGAACAGTCATGACTACGACACACTGTCAAGATCAGCCCACCCTCGTCCTTCACCATTTGGCAGTGAATACCAGAACCTACCTGCAGCCTAAGAAAACACAGAAACTAATACAAGTTAGTGTTCTGAAAGGTTATTTTCTGAATCAGAAAGTCTGGGCAAGGACCAGAAAGATAAAAGTTACACAAGTACTTCAAATCCTAAGAATACTTACTGCATTTTCAGGATGGAAGATGTAAGATGCAGGAGAATTATCTACTATAATAACTTTACTCAGCTCACGTCCCAGTCGACTCAGATCCTTCACGTAGTTTCCTCGGTGGAAAACACAGGATTCTCTAAAGAGCCTTGCCCTGAACACACCCCAGCGATCCAGTAAGTCGGCTACTGGGTCTGCATACTTAAAAACAGAAGTTAGAAACATGAAGTTAGCAATGCCCAGGTAAGGCTAATTCACAGAACCATACAAAGAAGGGACACAAAATCATTTCAGACAAAACGCCGTGGTTTTTTTTTCATTTTCTTCCCTGTTCCTTGTTAATTAACTTACATGCCTGCAAACCTGAAGTGATTAATAGAGAGAGAACGCAGAAGTAGGACGGTTATCTTTCTGTGGAAGGCTAACATGCGCTCTTAAGGTTTTCCTTGATTTATCGATTAGGTTTTATTCTCAGGGTCAACTTATAGTTACCCTAGGAATAATCTAGAAATCGATGGATCCCGAGATCTCACCTAACATTACCACAAAACCAGCCAATGCTAACAGAAAATCTATATGAAGCCATTCCCACAACCGATTCATTTCCACGTGTCTCTGAAGACAAACTGCAATGAAGGCACGTGAGCTCAATGTGGCTTTTTCAAATGATGCCCTTGGAGCAACTGGGTCAGTAAGAATCTTAAGATTACCAAATTGCATAACTGGGCCATAAAGATCAGACAAAGATGTTATTAGGAAAAATACCCACGTACAATACTGGAAAATTTTCACTTTATATATAAGATGATACTTCAAATCAGGCACAGCTTAGAATCTAACAATTGATGTAAACTGTCCAAGAAAAAGCATCCTAATAAACCAGAACATGAAATAACCGTGTACTTGAAAACCGTAGGTAGAACTCATTTTTGCAGGATAGGAGTTATCATTTTCCTGTATTTTAAACTGAGAAACAAAATTGATGTTGAAACCAATCATCTTTAGACTATGAAAACTGCTAGACCTCTAACTGCAATATGAAATCGTTCCATTATTTAGGATTGTTGCAACGTGACTGAACAGAGCATGGTAAACAGAGCGCAGGGAAGAATCTCTGACAAGAAGGCACTAGAGCAGATCAAACAGGGTCCTGTCCCCTTCCACCATCTCTATACTGGGTTGGAGTAAAAGCTTACTCGAGTATTACTTAGAAATAAATACAATTTTACAAACAAGACACCACAAATACAATACATTGAAGGAAGTGAAGAATTTAAGATGTCTACTACAGTAATGTCTACCACAAAACTACCTACGAGGTACTACTGCTACTGGAAACCACAGGGCACAAAATATTCCTGTTGATGTTTCAAGCTTTACAAAACGTCTAATTTTCTAACTCCAGATTGTAACTGCACCTTGACAGAACAAAAACGTGTTCCCAATTTTCAGATGCAGCAAGTTTCTGAATCACTGGCTGATCACGCAGATAGTGTTAAATACAGTGTATTTTATTTCATGCCCAGCTTTAATATACTGCTTTACTCGCACGCTATTTGTTCTAATTTCTCACTATAACCATGGTAACTTGTAAGCCTTTCATATTGGCATTATGAGCAATGCATGGAGGCTACATTATGAGACAAGCCCATATGTGATGGTGTTACCATGGAAACACTTACCCACACACTAGCAGACAAAGTACACACTGTCAGACAAAGAAGCAGAAAAGAAGGGGAAAAATTAAGATAGTACCAACTGTGGAAATAATTATTCATAGAAAACCCAACCAAAAGTCCATTGACCAGCACCATAAGGGCTACTGAGATGAAGAGAAGAACAAACCTTGGCTAGACTGGCTGTGAAGAGTACACATTCAAAGAGCTCTCCCATCCTCTGAAGAAACTCATCCACATGTGGTCGTTTCAATACATAAACCTGGAATGATAATGACTATTTAGGTCAAAAGGTGTTTAAGGTAAAAGGAAAGGGGGAAAAAAAAAAAAACCACAAACACAAACCACTCCTGTAATCCTAACACTTAAAGAAGCAAAAGTTAACATGGAAGCAGTTCAAATGAAATGCTGCAAGAAAAAAAAAGTATACAAGATAAAAGTAGACATCCAATAATGAGAAATTTGAATGCATGGGCTGCCAAGACCCATGCTGGTTATGTGACTGCAAATACTGTGCATCATCTGGAGTGATGCTTCTTGAAAAATCTCATTAAAGGCAAGGAGAGACGGCAGGGCTTCTCGAGAAGCGAGGATTCAGATCTCTCACCCGAAACGATTTTGGTGCTGGTGTCTTCAGCCCTGAAGAGCTTTACAGAAGGAATAAATCTGACGAAACCTCTACGATGACAGGAATTGCACAATAGGGAACTGTTTTCTTCCTGTGGCTAATTCTTTCATTTTTTAAATTCCAGGCGCTAAGTACCATATCTCACAGGATAGTTATCAGTCATCCGGCTCTGCAGAGAGCTTTCACCAAAAAAATCTTCACAGCACCATGCAAAATGTCTAGCAAATGCTGCTTTCAAAATGCAGCAGCAAAGTCTATGAGGTCTTCTACTGTGACCGTGCCATAAAGACGTTAAATACCCAGGATCTCTCCCCTCGTGAGCAGCTTGGTTTCAGCAACTGAGGACCATACAGGCACAGCGTGGCTGCCGACTGTCAACAACCTGATTAACAGATATTAGAGCCTCCTCGCCTCCCTTTTCAGAGCAAGGAAGGTGATTTGCATTCACAGAAAATACCAAGATAAGATAACTGCTGCCCAGAAAGCTTACAAGTAGTTTACAATATACTGGGAAGCTGAAGAGAGGAGTCTGCTTGAAAAATATTTATCTATCTTGTTTGCACTTAGATTAAAAGTTTGAGAGAAAACACTGGCACCATTTCATCATCTTCGTTTGGCAAATAATCCTTAATACTGGAAATTCCAAGCGGAGCAGTCTGGCATATAGCTGAATTCAGGAAAAATTGCAAGACTGATGCAATTTCAGGAATTTCTTCCTTTGATATGTAGAACTGATTAATTGTATGTATTTTACTAGATTCATTTTAAGAAAGAGGTAAAAACCATAAGGCACTTAGAGAAAAAGCCTGAAGTAGAAAAACATGGAAACGCCAGCTTGAAGTGTAACAATTAAAGCCTTTAGCTAAAGAAGAAAAAATTGTGTAACAGGGACTTGAAATGAAAAACCTAAATCTGAAAGCAAAGTTTTATTAAAAGCATATATGATGGAGCTGTACCTTAATGACTAAAGCAGAAACGTTAATTACTTTCCCACTCTATGTAGCATATAGCTCATAGCATAAGATTTGATCTGCTTTAAGTTATTTCTATGAAGTTTAACTAAACTCTTTCTGGCCCCTAAAATTCAAGCAATACATTCAAACTTCATACAGATTACCAATTTATAACCCAGATTTATTTTTAATTTTTTTTTGCACAACCACAGCAGCACTTAACCAATCAATTAAATAAATGAGACATTTTATAAATTAAAGACAGTTAACAGATGTACTTCAACACTGCTCTCTTTCCAGGTAACTACAGCAAAGTTTCCTGTATTTCACTAGGCACAAACCAAGAAATTTCCTCTCCTGTAACAATGCCATTGATTTTTCACTTAAATCTTACTACACAGAGCTGTTCTACTACTACTACTAATTTCCTTTCCAAATTACATCTTCAATTTTTAAAGACACAGGTAGAAAGACAGTTGCAGTTCCTCTGCGGTTGGGTACCCAGAAAGAGACTATCCCATTTGCCAGTAATAATCAGACGCAAGTTACTCCTTAACCTATTTTTGAGGGCACAAAAGGGACACCCCAGAGTCTTAAAGTCATTCTTGGATAATAGGTGCTGGCATTTAGTATTTTCCTTTTAAAACCCAGTGTTCTCAGCTGCAGTGCAAGAAGCCTCCTCTTTGCTCTCCATCCCTATCTGTGCCTGTGTCGGTGAAGTATTTCCACTTGGAATGTAATTACAAACTCCAAGCCAAGGATATGAACTTTGCTGCTTGCAACACAACCCACCTCCTCCATAAAGAGAGTATATAGTAAATCAACCCAGTAGCTACAGACCAGGAGCTCCTTAACCACAGGCTCACGGGCAGGAGTGGGCTTATAAACACAGGTATTTGCAGTGTGCGCTTTTTTAGCAATCTGCAGGTCTCCTAATACTGCAACTGGTCAGTATTAGCTGGAAGTACACAGCATTTTTAAACTGCATTGTCTCCCTTCTGCAGTTCAGGCCTCCTGGTCCATCCCAGAGTACTCTAAACCTCCCTTACTTGAGCTTTTCTTGCTGTTCTGCCTTAAACCTTACCTATTGCGCCCTGGCCAACAGATTCACTCCTCATTTTAAATGCCTTATTAATAACAAACGCAATCTCTTAGGATGAGGTCTCGCCGAATTTTTCCCGTAATTCTCTCCTCCTCTAAAAAGCCACAACTCCTTCACTTTTTTTTTTTTTTAACCAACACTGGATTTATTTTTTTTTTTGCAGAACAACATGTATTAATACTCTGGATGGTTATTCCCCTTGAAGTTTTTTTGACAAGTCCTACTTGGATCCTGGAAGCAACTGCAAGCACACTGGTATCCTGGGCTACAAGATCTCTTTGGTTTACTTCACATAAAAAGCTTTCTTCAGCTGACACTGCAGCTCTTTTCTCCTCTTCCTCCTCATTTGGAATTTTTTCCCCCTTTACTTTGTTAGCGGCTGGACTTGCATCTCAATGCCGCATGGTTATTTGTGGCTTGGCTTTTTCCTCCATTGCCTGATGTCTTCAGTTTAAGTTTCTAGACTAACTGGCTCCTGGCATTTTTCTGAGATTTATATACTGTTTTCAGGGCATTAAAAAAACCCAACAACCCTCCAGTTTCTCTGTGTTGCATGTTCACTAATTTCTTCCTTATCACAGTAAGACTATAGAGGAATACAGTCTTTTTTTTTTTTAAATTTAAAATGAACCTTACTCTTAAAATGTTAAGGCACAAATCGGGCACTAGGCATGTTTTTACAGGATTCTGTACTTACAGCTGCTAATGGCAGAACGTAATTATCTTTAATTGTTTTCAAGCTTTCGGTATTTCCACATACATTGTCTATACCTCAAAGCAGTCTTAACCCAAAACGACTCAGCATTTGTAAACTAAAAGAGAAACCCAGCTCAGTTTTCATCAGTTAAACAGGACAAAGAATTGCCTTTCAAAGTCAGCTTTACAATAATGAAATCTTCAACTAATGACCAAGAAATCTGCCCGTGACAACTCGAGCTCCCATAATCTCCTGTTCCACGGGCTGGGTGCATCTTCTTAACAGTGGGCAGAGAATAACATGCGTCCTTGAGCCTCGTCTTTCTGGTTGACACAGTTGTGGTTGCCTCCCAGTGCAAGTAACCAAGAATAGGCCAGCTAGAAAGGATACAGCCTATCCTGGATTACTTGAACCAGGCCACAGCCTTCTGTAAGAAAACCAATTAATTTTGTCCTTTGTAGAAAGGAAGTTTATTATTCCAACAGTGTTTTCCCCACCAATAAAAAACATTTTGTACATTACATTCAAAGTATACATGCCACACATTTCTTCAGCTTTCAACAACTAAAAATAAGCAATTGTTAATTGATATTAAAAAACTCCAAAACACTTAAAAACTAGTTTTACTCACTTAATGAATTACATTCAAGAATGAAATTCCAAGTAACATCAAATCAAACTCTTCTGGGCTGCCCTCTTTATTCTTCGACACCGACAGCGAGGCACAAAGGCATTGTGAGTCAATTTGGATAAAATACAAAGGACCACCATAGCCTAAAAATCTTCACTCACTGGGGATTAAAGCTATAATTAACGCACAGTTTCTAATCTGGGAGTTGTGATTGCTCTGCACTTCTTAAATGGGAAGCATGCTTCAAAAGAGAGGATGTATTCTTGCAGAAGTTACGTCAAGTGTACTAAACAGGTTGAACATCTTTTTCTCCAGCCACTACTTTCATCCTCAAGAAACTTCCTCTAAAGAGCGCTCTTAGTTGCAACACATTTCACTGGACTTCCCCCAGTTTCTCACTTATAATTTGGAAGAGCAGGGGACCAGCTCTGATTTCCTTTTATTCAGAGAACCAGAGAAAAATGAGAGAACTGGCCAAAAGAGCGTCAGCTTGCATTAGAACTGCCTTTTTGTATCTGTGCCATCATTTCCAACACAAAGCGGGGGATTCATCCCCTGTAACTTTAGCTGCCCTGTAGACCGGCACAGTCTCTGCAGGCAGCTAAAGACCCATAACAGAAGGAAAGAGAGGTACCTCCACACACGAGTGATTTCCTTGTAAATAAAATGACCAATCCTTTCTAAAGGCAAGGGAAATTAAGCTAGAGAATGATGGGAGAGGGACAAGGGGTGCTCAGAAAAGCTATTTTTTTAATCTAGGGATACTGCTTTACCCAAGCACCCTTCAAGATGACTTCAACTGTCCTCCCTATAGAAGAACAAGAGTCTCTCTGACCTTCGCATTATAGTGACATAAGGGCAGATAAACTCCCCAAACTAAAGACAGCTTTTTTTGTGAATACCTCTGTTGCACCGCAAAAAATTACATTTACCACAAACAAAACTTGTTAGGTAAGTCAGACTCGAAACTTTTTCAAGCATATAAGCAACTGAAGATGCCACAGCTTCTACTTTTGGTATATGAGATCTGAAGAATCTCACATGATTTCAAATTTCTTCCTGAATGGGCACTTCTGAAATGGTGTTCTCCATTTGTTTTCCATGGGGTTCTGTCTAAGGCGGAGTTCGAGCACAACAATACTCTGTTGGACAATTTCCTGCTCGATAAGATATCAGGCTTACCAGTAAACTAGGTAAGGATATGCACTACAGACAGTATGGCTCCACAACTTTTCACATATCCCATGGTATTTTAAACAAATGGCAGTATTTCCCAATGCCAATGATTAATCTTTGAGTATATAAACCGCTTAAGAAAATGGACAAGCATTATACAGATGACAAAATCTGATGGATAACAAAAATTGTTGATATGCATTCAGTTTATGCTTTAAGTGAATAAAAAACTACAGGTTTGAAGTAGGAATCAGCTGTCAAAGCTCTACAGCCTGTGTTAATGCTCAGACTAAGCCATGATGTTTGCTTTCACCTTTCAGATTATGACAGTTTTAAAAAAAAAAAACAACCACGACTGCTGGATGATAGCACATTACTTTGCTTGCATAGGTATTACAAACACAGGAATCTAAGACTTTGCCTATTCTGCATACCATATAAATTACCTGTATTTCAAGGATCAGAAATTCCTTACAACTAACTTCATTTCTACCACCCAGACGTAACTGCGATTTTTACCTTTTTTCGAGATGAAGAACTTGAAATACAAAGAGATTGAGAAATTTCCTTGAAAATTACACAGGAAGTCTTGAGCAAAGCAGTCAGAGACTAACTTCACTTGACTGTCTCTGTCAGAGCATCCTTTTTCCCATTCACGTTTAAGGTATGCACAAATCCTCTCCCTTTGACCAGTTGGTTTTGTTTGTTGTTTTTTTTTCCCCCATATGCTGTCATCTTGAGCACTTAAAAGCATCATGTTTAGCAAAGAATCTGAAAGTTCACCTTGGAGAACAGAAAAGCAATAGGCTTTCGAAGTGCTTGACTGTGAAGCCCAAACAGTCTTTTACTGAGTTTTGTTTCAAAATGTAAATGTATAATCTTGACAAGCTAAGCGATTACAACCCTAAACCATTCAAAATTGTTAGGCAACCTATTTTATTCCCTTTCAGAAGCATTCCTGAAAGTTTTAGGCAAGAAAATGCCTGCATTACAGCACTAAACACAATTAAAGCCCACATCCAATGAGGACAGACAATATCACAATACAAACCTCCCAAAACATCACTTACGTCTTTTAAGCATTCAGCTTTGGTGAACATTACGGATTCAAGTACCCTAAATTTTTCTACATGAAACAGGCACAGTGTAAAAACAGTTGAAGCAACTGTCACTTTAAAACACGTTTCAGTCCACTGACTGATATTTAGTAATTATTTTAAGAGTGACAATTCCATGGATGGTTTTCATAACATGAAATCAAACAAAACTATGAACCAACTTTATGATCTATCAATTTTTCCAAGATCAAAATACAAACATACTAAAATAATGCACATAAAAGACATTACAAAAATTAAAGTATTCAAAACCTCCACTGAATCACATCCAGGGAAGATTTGCAACTCAATAACTGCATTAACCTACGATAACCAATAGAGGATGTTTCAAACAATTTGCAAGATTCATACAGCAGAAAGGCTCAACTTCACAGTAACCAGTAAAACCCGACTCCAGCAATAACTTTAATATCTGTCTGAAGAGGAAAACTTTGGCCATTGTTATTTATTTCATTCAACGTTTTCAGAAATGACTACTGATTAAAGACACTAAGCTAAGACAGTGAAGGAGACTGATTTTCAAATTATGGGTGCTTTGCATTTACTGAAAACCATTTCACAGAGTCTTAAGTGAAGTTTTTAAGAATAGGACACAAAAGTTAGTCCCTTTTTAATTTTGTCTGGACCTTTTAAAGATGCTGAAATGTATAAGAAGTCCTATCAGAGGAACTTAAATTACTTACAGGAAGAAAAGGAGACAGAACTTAAGCAGATTGACACAAAAATTGAAGAAATGTCTGTAGTTCCTTAACATTTTTATAAAGCTTTGTCCATACGAGCTACCAAGAGACATTAAAGTCAACTTACGTCGTGTTTGCAAGATAATGAGAAATGCAGTATTCAAGTATTTTCTGGGCCTAGCAATGTTTGAAAACACATCCTTAGATCCCTTTCTGTTTGAAAAAGTTTTAAAACTGACAAAGAGTTAAGTATTGAAGTCCTGAGAGATATTCTGGAGAACTTAAAAAAGTTAAAATCAAGACTTAGTAGTTAGAAACTACATACCTGATCAACCAGGGATGCCTGTCTGGATGATTCGTTCCAGCCTTTGTGTTTTGCAAAAGGCCAAGTTATTGAATGTAAAAGGAGCAAACGGAGAAAGGTAACGCTCCCGGACAGTGAGGACAGTGCCACTACTAGAACAACGCTAAAGGAACAACAGCACTTACCTGATGTATGGTTCCATCAATTTCGACAGGAACGATGAAATCAGCGTTGCTAATTGGCTGCAAAGAATGACGAGGAAATAAATCAACATTAAAAATAAGATCATTAGAGGGAAAACTTCAGAGGCGTAAAAAGAGAAGAGTACTTACTCCTCAGGAACAAGTTAATAAGCATTATCGATTACACAAATCCACTCGGTGCGTGTGCCCTTTACACAAAGTCAGAAGCCTCATGCAGCCGTATTCACTGGATACTGCATTTCCCTCTTCCCTCATTTTTTTAAGCTTCATACAACATAATATGCTTTATTGCTTGAATACCCCCCCACTACCAGGATAAAAATCGGTTTGGATAACTCTTTCATCAAAGCTGAATTTCTTTTTCATCATCCACACAGATTTGAGCTTCACATATCCTGCTCTGGGGCATCAATTAGTAACTACTTAAAATTAAAGACAGTGGTAAAAGTAATACCTAAAGGTTATATTTGAATCAGGAGGTGCAACAAGAGAAGACTCAAGTTGTACAGTTAAATGATTCTCAAGATGTGATATCTCAAGAACATCCTAAACCAATCAAATTAATCATGTAAAACTGCATTTTAGTACAAAAGGGAAGAGGTGGCGCGCTCGGTCCAAGTCCTCGAATTCATTTTTCTAGCTTGCTGAATACAACTTAAGACTTACTGTGAAAAACCACTGGTTAAGTAAAACTACTCTGGGAAGCAGAAAAGCATCCTTGTAGCCAGTCTAAGAGTACAGAGTTTAATCTTGGCTGGGCAGTGGTGATAGCTGGGGCACACGCTGCTAACAATGTTCACTAGTTCAAACGGACACCAAGCTTGGCAGAGCCCTTCGCTACGGCTCATGCATTACATCCGTGATAAAAAAAAAACACCACGTAAACATGCCTGGCTGAGGTTTGTAACTCACTCCATGATCTGTAGCTTGGAAATGGCTGAGGCACAGAGCTGCCAAATATAGTTTTAAGAGGACTGATTAACACACAATATGTTTCATGGATAACAGACTGAAACGAAGGCTGGGAGCAGTCCGGCTGGTAACCAGTATGGCATTACTAAGGCTGGAAAACGTCTTCACTCAGCTCTATCAGACTTGCACAGACTTTCCCACCTGGTTTTCTGGATCAGTCAATAGAGTGATCTGAAGTACCACCAAGAGCACTCTTTGAGGAATCTGAGAAACCAGAAAGAGCCTCCAAACCCATTCAGGGGGGTCGAGGGGGTGCCAAGAAAGCAGAGAAGTAGCCAAGATAAAGAGGCTGAGAAGTGGATCACAAACTGGTAAGCCTGAACAGGTGCTCTGTGAAAAATGGTAGGAAAAACAGAATCCTGCAGTATTAACCTGATAGCATCACTTTGATCCCATTCCCTGGAAAAACTGGATTCTAATTCCATCGTTAGATGACTTTCCTGTGAGGAGAGCAAAACGACCATAAGAATCTATATAGAGGGCAACACCTTCTCTCAGTAGTAAAGTAATACGGAAGATGTTTTGATCTGACATCTGAGAGTGCTGCATCAGAGGACAAATGAGAAGCTACGCTGAATTTACTTGTCCCGACCAACAGTTATTGGCAACTAAAGCTCCAGGGTAGCTGATGCTGGAAAACTCCATCCTGTTGATGACCACTGTGCTAGCATGATCTAAAGAATTCAGCAAATACCCACAGATACATTCTACACTTCCCTTTGGCTGACATCAAACAATTTCCAAGATATATCCCCTGTTCTGCTCCTGAAAAAGACAGAAAGAGGCTCCTATCTGTTACCTGCGTGAAGCCCCTCAAGACAGAGAAGATACTCTGCAGCATCTTTAATAGCCAGAGAAGAGGTACACAAAAACATTCTGAAGCGTCACCTTAAAAGAAACCCAAGTGAACTGTCAATAAGACTCAGCCACCAAAGTTTTCAAGTGGGTGCCAGCTCCGTGCGTGAAGAGACCTGCAGGCACTTGAAGAATTTACATATGCATGACACCCTTAAGCAAGATAAATATTCCATATGAGCAGAAAAAGAACAGGTCACTGGAAGTTGCACAGGTTTTGAAGCCCACTGATAAAAATACACCTATTACCAAACTTTAAGAGGAGCAAGAGCAACCACGTGTCAGAGAAAAATCACGTTCTGTTTAGACAACCTGACTTTTGCTAACAAATAAAACCCACCCTTAGACTTTGCAACACTAACCAAATTACATAGTTGCTTCCCCCACTTACACTTCAGGTACTACACAGCTTTCTTGCTGGCACAAGCGATAAGAAAGAGAGCATGGACTGGGGTTCTGTGCTTCATCATGATGGGAAGTCAGGAGAAAAGCCTGCAAGAGTTTGCTGGATAAAGGTTTCTGGGGCTGCACACGTGAAGCACGTACATGCCTTGAGCAGGAACCACAGAGACAGAGCGTGAAAGATGACAACGTATTTCCATGGAAAAATCTTTCCTTCAGTTAGAACTGTTTCTATTTAATAAAAAGCTCCAGAGTTTCAAATGTTCTAAAAGACTTTCACAGCCAGTTTTGACTATAACTACATTCCAGACTCACATGTGGTTTAATTCATTTTATACAAAACCATGTTTACATCTCCTTGATTTAATAATTTACGGTTTTTGCTTCTATTATTTTTTTATGATGGGAATGATAACTATAACGTCTATCTATTCCTTTTTTACTCTTGCCAAAGCACCCCAAACTTTATTCCTTTAATATGCACTTAACATGAAAGACTAGTACCTCCTTAAAGCTTCACAAATATGCAGGGGCATAAAAAGACAAGAATTACCCTCCTTCAGATGTTGCTGCTTTCATAAAAGAACACTTTAAATACCCTGCCTCTCTGGTTGTGTTAAAAAAAATATTATCTGCATTTGAAATATGAAGCCTACTTCATAATAGAATTATGAATTCTAAAATATCATGTGTTTCAAATAAAGCCTTTTGTACTAAAAAAATCACAAACTTATCTATGCTTTTACAGGCTTTAAGTGCGGACCTGCTTAGGTAGAGCAGATATGTTTTGGTGAAAAAAAACATACCAATGAACAACTAGAAGAAATTGCAAAAGCAACTTGATTATTAAGGCAGAGCAGTGTGAATACAGGTGTTAAAACCCCCGCTCTTCTGGAAATCCAGAATTTTTTGATGACCACAACGGCCTTACTTCAGCTGAAGTATCTCCCCTTATGAAACAAAATCCAAAGCGCACCACTGGACAGTGCCAGGCACTGAACAACTAAAGCCATTTCCTCCAACACTTGGTTTTCTCTTACACACTCCCAGCACAGGGCTTCATACTAGGATAATGTTGTTGTAGCCATGAGACTTCTGCTGCAGAAACTCCAACATTTGCCTATCACCATTTACTTCACACAGAAAAGCACCATTTTTCTTCTCCTAACAGAAAACACTATTCGGTATTCAAAACTAAGTAGAATAATCTTTTGATTTTTTCTTAAATGTCTGTTTAACATAATTTAAATACCCATTAAATATCATTTGAATAATGGCATGATTAAAGTGAGCCCACTAAGAAAGCACTCTGCAATAAAGGCAAACCTCAATCCTACAAGAAAGGATTTAGACTCTGTCAACCATTAAACATGTATTTCTTTAAAATGGTTTAAAAAAATTAAGAACCACCTAAATTGAATCCCATTTTGTTTCAAAACCCAGAAAAATCACAGCACAAAGTTACCCACAGTATTCAGAAAGCAAACTTTTATTTTTACATTTCAGATGACACTAAGCCTAATACTTCATTATTTTAATGTAAATTTAGACTTCTAAATTCAGCTTTCCCTTCTTATTTTTGACTCTCGTTTAATCAGGAAGGCATGGTCCCTCCTTTCCCAATCCAGCTGTGTTTCTAATCTTCCTGAAAAATTCTCAAGTGCAAATTCAGTCTGGGTAGAGAAGACAAGGATCTGGCACTGAGGTTAAGAGGTTCCTGTACGCCACCACAAATTGCTATATACCATTAGGGACAATGAAGACAGAGAAAAATATTAGTTTCAGTTTGAGGCACAGGAATATTTTTTCTAGTATCTCCATATAAGGTCTTCTTTAAGTCAACAAAGACAGGCTGTTGCCAAATTCTAACCCCAACATGAATTACGGTTTGCATATTTAAATGCTGGCAACCAAATATTGCAGGATTAAAACATTGGGTTTATGCTAGCAGTGAGAAATGGAGTGCAACCAAAACTGGAAGACTATAAAGACAGGGGTAACTCTAGCTTGCTACTAATAAGGAAACATATTATTGATTCTTAGAAATTCTCCAGGATCGAAATATAAAAGTAGCATATGCTTTACCATGCCTGACGTTTGCTAATCAGAAATACTACCAATGCTCTGAGCCGATTTAGGTCATTTGTGTTTCTGAATTCTCCTATTCTAACTTCAGTCCGATTCAAACAATAGAAGAATACCACTACTTCCACCACATGCTGAAATCTGAAGGGTTAGAAAAGTTGCTTCTAGAAGATGACTGGCTCATCAGCAACAGCTCAATGCTATTGCTTTCCTGTTGTGAAAGCTAAATACTTAAAAAAACTTCCTGTGATTGGGACAGCGGCCTGACACGGAAAGCAATCTTCTCCAGCAAGAGAAGACAGCATCACTGGTGCTCAAAAGCTACTGGTTTAAGGTACATCTACCCAGCACAAGGCTTTGCTGAATTGCCATTCTCCTAGACTAACTATGGCATCATTTAAACATCAAAAACAAAACCAGATTTTCAGAGCAACAACTTTTGTACCTGTTAAAACACAGGTCTGTGTTGGAATAGTCACCATTTAAAGCCATGAAGTCAATAACCATTCCAGCCCTTGCTGCAGTCATCGTGACTTTCTCAGAATCAAAGACATAGCGACGTCTGCGTTGCTCCCCTTACAGCTAAATTAGGATGAATAATCATAGGAGTAACAATGAGAACTACCAGGCATCCTGGGAGAGCCTGTAAGACTAGTTCATGTGTTAAGAGGCTTAAAAGTTCCTACAACACTCACTGACAGATTCAAGTTGCAAGAGATCGCTTTTGAATTCACTTACCTTAAATGAACTGTGCACTAAAGTTTCATCTAAATCAATGACCACACACTTCTTCCCATAGTCTGATGCTGTCAGTTCTGGCAGGAGGTATTTAGCTGGTGGCTAAAAACAAAAAGAAAACAGGAAGACAACAAAAAAAAAAGTAAAACCTCTTTTGAAATGGCACTCTTCTGCCAACATTACTATTCTAGTAGTTACTGGGAACTGAAATGCATGACTCAAATATTTTTCTGGGCTCATCACAAGTACATGTATGGAAATTAATGGCTCATGCAATAACCATATAGACTTTTTTTTTTCTTTTCTTTAAATGAGATACTTGTTTAGAATGATCTCCAAAGCATTGGAAATAAAAATGGCAAAACACCACCACTAGCTAAAAAACAGAGAAAAATAAGACATTTGATACAAGGACATCTCTTCCAGTGGCCTTTTTCCTAATGCCTTGGTTTTGGATGCTGCTGTTATCCTATTCACAGTCAACGCCATTTCCAGCCGTATCACACTGACAGACATTTACATAAATTATTATTTGTTTGCTATGAAAGTGGAGAAACCAATCCTGAGGGAAGACAGCATTACTAATTTTATCTTCCAGGACATGTCTCCACTTATTTTTACTATTTATCAGGGTGCTGACCAAGAGCTTTCATGTAGCTTATGTTCCCAATCGAGATATTAAAACTGCAGGAAAGAAGGCTCTCTTAAACCAGGCTCTTCTGCAGTACACTGCCCTTACTAAACACTACCAATTACAGGAATTTACAATTTTTCTGAACGCAATGCACATGGTCACATTGTCTTCCAATCGCTCATTCCCCACGTTAACATCCCAATCTGCAATACAGCTAAGTTACTTTAGACTTCGGTACTGGATACTTCCTAAAATATCAGAAATGGGAGAGAACACTTCCATTTGGAGCTGAAACACTGCTGCCACTCAAAGAGGGTTTTTTTTGATGAAGGAAAAGGACTAGCTTTATAGGGAAGTATCAACAGGCAGAAGCTCCGGACTGAGAGGAAATTAAATTAAGAATTGTATACAGAACTCTAACTTAATTCTTTTGCTATATTTTTATTTATTCAGACAATGTTGCTCTGGTAAGGATGAAGCTATCGTGTTTTTGTTCTTTCCAACAGCCTTTTGTAGAGGTGCTTGCAGAGACCTGAGGCCACCCCTTTGCAGATGAGTGAGACATCCTCTGAACACCCTACAGCAGCAAGTACAGGTTCTTCATTAACCACTGACTGATTTCTGATGTCATCTGGAGTTGATAGATACCGGTCAATTATGCTTAGAAAGTTCTTGCTTAAATGAAGTAACTGACAAATGAGATTCTGGCCTTCAGTGTCTTTAGCTAAGGAATCAGTCACTGGGGGATTGTTTTTTAGGAGTGCTCCCTGAAACTGACTTAGTTTCGCACAAATAACATAGAATCATAGAATGGTTTGGGCTGGAAGGGACCTCAAAGATCATCTAGTTCCAACCCCCCTGCCATGGGCAGGGACACCCTCCACTACACCAGGTTGCTCAAAGCCTCATCCAACCTGGCCTTGAACACTTCCAGGGATGGGGCAGCCACAACTTCTCTAGGCAACCTCTTCCAGTGCCTCACCACTCTGAGAGTCAAGAATTTCTTCCTCAGATCTAATCTAAATCTCCCCTCTTTCAGTTTAAAGCCATTGCCCCTTGTCCTGTCACTACACACCCTTGTCAAAAGTCCCTCTCCAGCTTTCTTGTGGCCCCTATAGGTATTGGAATGCTGCTAGAAGGTCTCCCCGGAGCCTTCTCTTCTCCAGGATGAACAACCCTAACTCTCTCCCAACATCAACGATTTCTTCAGCTACCAAAATGGAAGCTCCCTTGCTTACAAGCCACTTGTCCCGATGCACTTTCTCTCAGGACGCATCTAAAAATGACTTTTAAGAAAAAACAACTGCTGCATAATGCCTGTAAAGTATGTGTCCATCAGAGCATCCTGACCAGGCTGAAATCCATAGGACACCCTTTCTAGGTTATCCAGAGTCCCATGTACACATTACTTTTCCAACTGCTTGAGCTTTGCTTCTGCTTGTCTGTATCTAGGACCAGATCTAAGGAATTTAGGTTTTTCACTCCTATTTCAAACCGTAAAAGGTATCTAGGCACCCCACCTCAATTCTTCATATTAAGAAGGATCCAGACTAAAAGCTTATTGAATGGAATATCAAACCCATTTAAAGACAATGATCTTCAGAACCCATGTTTTGATACTGATTTCTTGTCTTTGAAGAAGAGAAAAAGGCAGGACATCCCAAGAAACTTAAGGCAAACTTTTTCTTTAAAGAATAGTTCAGTTCATTTTTGTACTCTTAAGACTGTTAGTATTTAGTTTGAATTTTTGACTAAGTTAATCTGCACAAGCAGTTCAAAGCCAGTGATTTCTTCTGCTATGCGAGTTCTTTTTCAAACTGAAAATATCTCTATATATGGAAAATATATGGAAATAGATCTTCCTTCATATTAAAATACACATATGAAAAATACAAGCACTGTCATACCACACATATCTTTGTTTTTTACCTGGAAACTAGTACTCCTCTCATCAAGAAAATGATGGACATACACCAAGGACTACAAAATGCAAGAACCTTCAACTCCAAGAACCCGAATTCCTTGACTGCACAGTGAGAGAGCCTGTTGCCATGCTCCCCACCCACCTGCAGCTCTGCTTTCTCAAAAGCAGTTGCTGGGAGAGGAACGAGCTTACCTGCAGTACCCACACAGAGATGCTAGCTACTGCTAGAGCCTCTCTCCCTTTTCAGTACTGCCTTAGAAAATAATGTGTAATTATTGACTTAACTTTATCTAACAAGACTACACCTCAAGGTTTTTCCTTGGTAAAGCCTCCCACTAGGGCACACCAACCTTCCTACAAGCTTTGGCTTCTTGAATTCAATCTGATTCTGTTTTCAAAAGACACCTGGTCAACAGTCTACGCCTTTGAAAATTAGAAAAAATGAATTTTCCATTTCAAAACCTGTATCTCTGTTACCCTCAACTTTGAAAACACATTTTTCACCTGATAATCTAACCAGGGACAACGAAACTATTCTGAAGCTGAAGGTACTACAAGTTGTGAGACTGCTAAACATCCGGTGCAGGACTTTGGAGCTGGGATAACATTTTTGAGGCTTTAGGAACTTAAAGGATTTGTATGTAGGGTATCAGTCCATTTGTTTTGCCGTTCAGGCTTTCGGGTCTAAAGCAATTTCCACATGCCAAGAGTAGCAAAGCTTTTAGACAGAAACAAGCATTACTCAATATTGTATTTTAATTTTCTCACTAATGGAGACATATCCAAGAAGAGCTGTAGTTACCGGATTTCCATCATAGTTAATAGCAAATAGTTATGGATCTTTCAGAATGTCTTTTTTTAAACATAGGAGGAGCTTTAAAGATATCTAAAATGATTAAGAGTATTTAATCGTGGCTAACAGCAACTCATATTTACAGCGTAATACTCCCCGAAAGACTGCAGACTTCCAGAGAACCCAGCAGAAAAAAATAACATGTGGTATCTCAGTACTGTAATTCCTAGCTCGGTCTTCAGTTCCAACAAGAAATAAATTGTATACAAGTTCAAGCTTTTAAACTAGTCACTGTTTGGGATTTATGCATTCCAGTCAGGTCTCATGGCTGATCAGCTTAACAGACCTTGTAGTGAAACGACTGCTGCACTGCTTCAGTCCCGTGGAAATAGTATATTCCCTAAGAAAAAAAAAAAAAAAAAGGGGGGGGGGGGGGGGGCAAGAAAACAGGACTTTTGGTTGAAGCATAAACAGCCGGTCAACACAAACCTTTCAGAAACGCACTGTACAAAACAATCACAACCTTTCTTCCCTGTAGGCCCATATTTCTCACAGAGACAAGCACCAGAATTAATAAGCCCTTCCTTTGGATACTGGAAATGTTGCCTAGCATAAATGCAGCACATGAATTCGCTGTTCGTGTTCCCTTCAATTCACACGTTCGGTTGCACTCTGTATAGCTCACAGCTTCTCCCTGCAGTTATGCACAGAAACACTCTAATAGAAGATAAATTATTCCCACTTAAAACACAGCTGCCAAAAGACACCGGCTCCTGTTACGCAACAGGCAGTTAGTTCACAAAATTTCTTCTAGAAAAAGTTGTAACATGAAATCGTCTAAACATAGGTAAGGACAACTGAAAAATGACATCCCAGTGTTCAGATTTAACTCCTGCAGGGATGCTGAGGACTATTTTTGGTATCACTCCTTAATACTGGGATTTTAAATCAAGGGAAAAAAATGGACGCTCCAACTCATATAAGAAGGTGCATGAGTATGGCTTTGTATTTGCATCTACCTTTTCATTCTTTTGAATGAAAGCAAGTGCTGAAGTTGCTACGGGTCTACTTTAATTTCTCTACCATACTCCTTCCCAAACAAAGCTAGGAAAAATCCATGAAAGCACAGGCGTCCTCAGCTACACTTAATATATTTTTAAGACAGGTCTATCACAAAACTCCTTAGATTACCATTCTGCTCAACTGGCATTGTTTTTTTCTGGTTTTCTGTGCATTTATTCCAGCCCTAAAAATAAATAATTTTGCAGTATCAGGAAAAAATCAGTTATCCTGGTGTTTAATCTATGCCTTATTTGGAAACAGTTTCAGAATACACGATACAAACCAGAAGAAAGTTCATCTTTACAAAAAATAAAGTCGTACTTTCTATTTTCTGAAGTATCTAACTTGAAGCGGGAATGTTTCTTGCTTAGCAGTTATCTCTACCAAGAACCAAGTGAAAATTCATATTAATTCAAGTTTTTAAATTAAGTGCAATCAATACAGGAAAATTCCGATTCAGCAGCAGATACACTTCACTGATACTGCACAGAAGTACACAAAGCAATGGAAGCTTTCAAACAGACGACCTCAGCAGACTGACAGATTTTATACACACATGAAAAAGCTCCAGAAAACCTCATATTTTGACTAGAAGCTTCAAGTTGAATGTTTAACAAGTAGGGAGCAGGCAGTGGTCTTTTCAGGGTCATTAAGGAGTTCACTAAACATCTGAAGTGATCACATTTGCAGTGAGCCCTGTCAAAAGTAAATGCCCAACCTGACTGCGCCCAAGCTCGCTGTATGTTCAGAAGATTTTCACCTGCTACATACAATACACAGAGTTCAAACAGCCTATTCCTCATCCACAATTCTACCTAGCAGAGCATCAAGAATTTGTGCCTTAATGGCTCTTAATCACACGGTTAAGAGTTGTCCCAGAGTGAACCTCTGTCCTCCAGCCCTTGTAAGACTGGCAAAATGGATCACTTTAATTTTAGGCATTTTTCAAATACGACGTCAGCTTTGCATCTTCGTTCCTACCACCTTCTCCACATGCAGCTCACCTCTGTTTTATTTAGATGATCACGTACTAATGCTCTCTGGCTTCTGTGTGACAGCAAGCAGCACTCTGATACTCAGAGAGTAAATGTCACACAGTAAATGTCACCTGCAGGCCAGGGCTGCTTGACAACGTTTGCTGGAAGAAGGCATCAGATGGCACCCGGGAAGAGGAATGGGCATGTTTACAGTCACCTGCTCACTAAGAACTCTACGTCATGACTGCAAAGTTAATTTTACTGCCTTATTAAAGTGCTGGGAATATAGGTCAGCAAAATTTCAGCTGAGCTACAAAAAAATTAAAGGAAGGAAAAAGTCAAAAAAAAAAAAAAAAGAGAGAGAAAAACCCCAAAACTCTTTTTGAATCATTCGTTTTCCTAGCACTACCCAAATCTAACGGACCACTGCTTTAAACATCAGAAAGATGGTGTTCTAGCAAAGTATCTCATTTCATATTTGTACCTAAAGCTGTACTCAGTTGTCATTTCAAAATTTTGTTCTGTTTGAATTCTTATTTCATATTAATATCAACATTCACTCTTAGGCAAAATCTTATTCCAGGTCAGAGCACAGCCAGAACATGTTTTACATTCAAATAACTACTAGTAGAGCAACTACAGTCACCAAACAGAATCTGGCAGGTATGTCAAAGGAAAAGTAATTTAGAAGTCAGTATTTTTATACATCCAAAGTTTCCTATTCCCAGACTTGCATATATCCAAATTACATGCCTTTACATGTGTGTACACATACATACACACATGCAGGCAAACATATGCACGAGCCATGTCAGAAGTAATTTCGTAGTAGAAATCATAGGTAAGCAACAAAGAGGAAGTTCTAATAGTTCTTAAATCCAAGAAAAAGTGGTGGAGGAAGAAAGTGATCCGCACAGTTACAGTGATCTCCTGACACTATTGCACTGCAGCAAGGACAGGGTTCTTATAGGTGGTCTTGTAATGCTGGGACACATGAGCAGGAAGGGAAA